CGGGGCGCCTGCGGGCGGCGGGGCTGGCGAGGGAGGGGAAAGGGACATATTTGGTCAAAGCCTGGCGCGTCACCGCGCGGAGGAGGACTCGCGGCGGAGCAGGAAGCGCGGCACCGAGTCGGTGCGCCCTGCGCGCACGCCCCGTCCCACTCGGGCGCCCCGGGCGGCAGCCGCTGCCACGGAGCCCTACGAAGCCCTCCCGGGGAAACCCACGCCGTGTTCACCTGTACGCTCTTCAGGCGCGTGGGACGGCCACGGGGGACGCGCTCACAGGGCCGGGTGACTCGAAATTAAATGAGGACTGGAGAGAGCAGCCCAGAAAAACGCATTTCTGATGGCCTCCTGGCCCCGGATTAAGCATCGCTCTGCTCCCTGAGTCCTGCCCTGCTCTGGTTTTCTCCGCGGCGCTGACCATCTGACAAAGTTTAGGTTTGCTTTTTTATTTCTGAGGTCCAAGGCAGATGTTTTTCTCTCTTTTGTGCACTGCTGTTTCCCCAGAGCCTGGAACAGCCCCGCACACAGCTCGGTAGATGCTCGTATGTCAGGGGAAACAGCGCGACGTAAGGACTGTGGCTGGAGAAAAGGAGAGGGGATAACCGCACGTTACCACTAATTTTGCCTCTGCAAAGTCAGCACCTGAGAGTGTGCCTTGTTTATTACTTGGTGGCCCAAATCGCTCAAAGGCAGATCCTGTTTAAGTCCGTTAGGAGTTAATTTCTGTGAAAAGTGCTATTTTATATCGCACCTTGAAGGAACAATGTTGGGAACAATCTCCTGATGTCCTAATATTTAAAACACCCATGCAAATAGCAATTGGCCTACTTTCCTATATAGTGGGAAAAGCCACCCAGGTGAGCTGAAGAGTTGCAGCCAGTATGTGGGGCACTTTTTTCTTTATCCTTTCCTTAATCACAAATCAGTTTTTTAGCCTATCTTTTTTTTTTTTTCCTTGGTGGGCTAGGTGGTACAGGGATCGAACCCTGGGCCTTGGTGTTATCAGCATCACGCTCTAACCAGCTGAGCTAACCCACCAGCTTTTGGGGGGGGGGTGATAGTCCAGACTCCTTCTCTACTCTTGAAGGGAGACGAAGCCAGGAAGAAGGGATTGACTGTGGGGTTAGCAGCAGTTGGCAGAGCCTTCTGAACAGACACTGCGGCATGGGCCCAGCTGGAGATCCGGGCCAGGAAGGCTCAGACTTCAGCTCCTGTGCCTGGCCTTTAGTTGTGGGGCTCAGTGTGTGTCAGAAGAGCAGGAAGTGGGGGATGTGGGGGTACACCCAGCTCCCTCTGCCCCTTTTCCTGCCATAATTATAACTCCAGGTGGACATGGACTTAACTTCATGGACTTCGCCACAGCAGAAGGCAAACTTTATCTAAGACCAGTTGTTTCAGATAAAGACCGTGTCAGGCTGCACGTTGCAGACTCACTGCAGTGGCAGCTGTAGGAAGCCAAAGCACACGTATGTAGAGGGGGACGTGTCTTATGCCTTCTGCTTGGCACCTTACCCCGTGGACCCAGTGTTCACAGGCATGCGTGGCTGGCTGTTTGATCTTTCATCCTGGCTCCTGATCCAGAGCTTCTAAGACCCTTGGAATCTCCAGAGTGATAAGATTGTCTTTTGTTTGCCAATGAGAAGGCTGAGGGCCAGGTGCCCTAGACAGGTTCAGGGTGGGGGCTGGTAACCCGAAAGACTAAGGCAGGATTACAGGGTGGAAATTTTGGCCCAAGCACCAACCTGGAGGAAGGGGAGAAGGGCTGAGATTGAGTTAGTCACCAATGGCCAGTGATTTAATCAGTCATGCCTATGTAACGAAGCCTCAAAAAATAAAACCCTAAATGATGGAATTCGAAGAGCTTCCAGGTTGGTGAACACCAGGGGGCACTGGGAGGATGGGACACCCAGGGAAGCTCCCTGACACCCCCTAGCTTGTCCTGTGCATCTCTTCCATTTAGCTGTTCATGAGTCACATCCTTTATACTAAACTGACAGTAAGTAGAGTGCCTTCATGAGTACTGTGAGTTGTTGAAGCATATAACTGAGCATGAAACTGGGGGTGGGGGGTAAGGGGGCTGTGGGAACTTTGTAGCCAGGTTGGACAGAAGTATGGGTACCCTGGGCGCCCAGTACCTTTGACTGGCATCTGAAGTCAGGGTGGTCTTGAGGGACTGAGCCCTTGAACCTGGGATCTGACACTTAACTCCAGGTTGTGAGTGAGTGTCAGAACTGAATTGACTTGTAGGACACCCAGTTGGTGTCTGGAGAGCTGGAGAACCAGTTGGTGGTGTGGAAAAAACCCACACGTGTGATATCAGAAGTGCTGTGAGTGCAAGCAGGTCAGATGAATGTATTCTACTGTCTCTACTTTGAGTCCTTTTAAGTCCTGCATAGAAAAAGAGAACACAAACTCTTTACTGTCTTGTTTCCGGTCCATGTTCAGGTAACAGCCCTCTGGGATTCCTGTTGTTTAATCATCCCTGGGAATGTTTGTTCTGTCACTGCCATTCAGAATCAGCCAACAAAAATTGATGCCAATGTTTAATAACTCAGAGTGGCCATGCCTTATTCCTCGCAGAAGGCAAAGAGACACCCACCTGCTGAGAGGGGCCACCGTGGGAAGTTCACACAGTGAAAGAACAGGGCACGGGAGATTGGAGTTGCTGAGCCATCAGGGCTGAAGAACTCTCATCACCCTGTTCTGGTTGGGGCAATGGGCAGGGGGGCAGTGGGACATGGTCCCTTGGTTTTTAGACCTGGAGAAAAGATCTGAAGCAATTTTAAGTTGAGAATATATTCTCAGAACTGTCAACAATATAGCATGAGTTGCAGAACCAAGTAATTTTATCATTACTCACCAAACTTTCAGCTGTGTCTGCCGACATTTCTGTGTACAGCCTAATGGACTATTGATTTGAACACTTCTCCACTCCCATGGAGCTCTTAGTACATCAAAGCAGTGTTTTAAAAATCTAACCTCATTGTCAGGATGCATGAGGGAACTGCAAGGATCTCCTAGCCGGGCTCACGTCTTCCTCAGCCTTCCTTCTACCATCATTTTAGAATGTCACATGAAGTAGCGTAATTTGGTAACCTGAGTTTCCTAGAACAGAGCTATCAACTTGAGCAGAGCTCAGAACCATCTGGAGGGCTGGTGAGCAGATTCCTGGGCCTCACCCCAGAGTCTCTGATTCAGTAAATATAGGGTGGGGCCTGAGAGTTTGCATTTCTAGCATTCTAGCAAGGGTCCCAGGTGATCCTGACGGTGCCAGGTCTGCTGCTCCTGGACCACACTTTGAGAACTAAAGAGGAAAGGCGCAATTTATGCCTGGAGTTGATCTAGGGCAGGAACTCTGTTGTGAGGTGAGGGCCCCATGGGCTTCATGATCCCCTGTACAGGAAACCCCTCCCTGGGCAGGCCCACCCATGGCACAGCAGATCACAACCCCCAGAGTCCCTTGGCCGGGGCCCGGGGAAACAGATGGCCACCTTTCTCCTCTTGTGTCGGTGCCTAGGCTCCAAGGCCAGCAGCTGCCGTGGACACAGCTCCTGGTGGTCTTTCCTGCAGGAAGGAAAGGGCCCCTTCCTAGGTTTCATCTGGTCCGCAGATCCAAGGCTTTCATGCCCTCTCTGAAGGGAGGGTGGCACTCTGGTAGGAAAAGGTCTCCTGCTCTTTATTCTCTGAGACACGTGCCACCTCAGCCTTTCCCTTGCAGGCTATTTGCATTTTGAGCCTTTCCTCTCTAGTGGCAGAATGTAAGTCTTTGTCTCCCTTCCCAGGGAGGGAACTCCAAGCCATGGGGAGTGAGCAGAGAACCTTCTGATGGGGGGCAGGGGACATCGGCAGCACAGTGTGTGTTGGAAGGGAGGAAGGAAGGAGGGGGTGTCTAGGGCAGGGACCAGCAGGTCCGTGCAGTACTTGTGGGCAATTCCCTTCTTTTCTTGCACCCACCCCACGCCTCTGCCACACTCCCATATGTGGGGAGTCCAGAGCCATCCCCTCTGCCTGGCTGTCCCCGCTCCATGCCCCTCTTTGGTGTGGTCCTGCTACCTCAGGCTTCTCAGCTGCTGGCAGTCTGCCAAAAGGCTGGGGGGCTCTGGGGTGGGTTGAGTCCCTGCCGCATCACTTCCTAGGCTGTGTGACAGACCCTCTTTGAGCCTCACAGCATTCTGTCTATAAAATGGGGCTGATACATTCTTCATGGATTGTTGTAAGGACGCAATGACATCATGTTTGCTTGGAACACAAGGAATGCTCAGTAAATGGTAGCTGTCATCATTATTATTATTATTAATCATTATTATTATTACAGCTGGGAGCAGGGAGGGGCTGCTTTCACTGTCCTCCGGGAGTTAGGAGGAAGCCTTGGCCTCAGGAGTGCGGTGGGCACAGGCACAGTGCTGGGACGCAGTGCTGTTGGGCATGAGAAGTCCAGCTGCTGGGGGAGCCCCTAACTGAGTCCACGTGTGTGTGTGTGCACGCGCGCGCGTGTGTGTGTGTGAGCGTGACGATGAAAGGCTTAACAACCCACAGTGTCGGAGAAAACTATGAACATTAAAAGTAATTACATGAACACATCTAACTCACAGATCTCGGCTTCTCCAATAAAAGGAATCAGGAGGCCTTGGAGAAATGAAGGGTTAGGGTGGAAAAGTACAAGATGAGCCTGAAACATCTTGTGGTGCCAGAAAGTAAGCAACCATTTTGTTGTGGTTGTGCCCAAAAATAATGGGGACGCATCCAAAAGGCACACGAGCCAACTGGAAGGGGCCCCTTTGGGACAATTCAAGCAACAAGATAAAATCATGGTAGTAAATGGATTGTAATCCATAGAATAAAATAAGAATCCAGGCATCTGTACTAATATAAATAAGTATAAATGAATAAATAAATGGGGGAGAAGGGAAAGCTTTATCCACAGTAGAATTCCAGCTAGTGAGTGCAGGAGGAATCGAGGAACCGGAAACAGCACCGTTTGGCAAACACTGCAGTAACAGGTGTATCAGGGAAGAACTGTCAGTGGATGCCAAGGCTACAGCAGAAATACAGTAGGAAGCAGGGTATGGACAGTGTCGAGGTATCTTCCCACAAGATAATTGTTAATTACAAAAGGAGAGATGGTCACTTCACAGGGGAGAAGCCTGGCAGACCTCACCTTAACCAGGTGATCAAAGTTATTGTCACCAGGAATGGAAAAACCAATATCAGGTGCCTCCTGGTATGATTCATGGAAAAGGCACAGCATCATGTCTGTGGTATTTCGGCCAAAAGTGCACAACCTGAATTGAATCATGAGGAAACACGAGACACCCAAGATAAGGGACGTTCTACAAAATAGCCAGTACTTCTTCAAAAATGTCAAAATCATGAAAGACAAAGATGGAGGAAGTGTTCCGGATTCAAGGAGACTGCAGAGGTACGACCAACTGGACCGTGGGATCCTGGGCTGGCTCCTGAACCGCAGACAGGACGCTGGTGGGACAGCTGGTGAACTCTGAGTAGTGTTGTACCAATACTAATTTCCAGATTTTGGTAATTGTGCTGTGGTTATGTAACATTTGGGGAATTTGGGTGAAAGGTTTATGGGAATTCTTTGTACTCTTTACAACATTTTTGTAAATCTGAAACTAACTCAAAATGAAAAGTTTTACAAAAAATTAAAAGATGATTATAGATGCTGGAGGACTTACTAAATAAGAAAACTCCAAAATTGATTTGGCTGGGCAATCAGCTACTCATTATGTCACTGATGTGAATGTCTCATTTCCATGCCCCTCCATGAGCAGCATGAGTGTCATTTACTGGATTCTATGTTTTACTTAGATTAGAAAAATCCATTTCCTTCCATTAAAACAGTATATGTTTAATTTTCCTAGTTTGCTGTAGACAGCGCGATCATCCGCTCCTAAAGAAAAGAATCTACAGGGAGCATCACTTTCTGGAGGAATCTGAGATGTGAAGGCTTCTCTTCCGTAGGCGGAGTTGAGCAGACACTCACCACCGTGACTCTGTCCCAGGGATCTTCTTGTTCCTGCAGCACTGCCCCCTCCCCTTGTGACCCCCGTGTCTGGGGTAGCATTGGTGTTGTAACATGGGACATCACCTCTCAGTAGCCATGTGGCTTCATGGACGAGTTACTTGGCCGCACCATGTCTTGGTTTCCCCATCTGTAAAATGAAGATGATAATAATACCTATCACTGGGGGTGGAGAGTGAACAGTAAATGAGATAACCTGTGTATCAGTCGGGTTTTTGATTGCAAGCTAGAGATACAATCCTGGGTCATTTAATCAGAAAAGGAATTAATTGAAAGGATATTGAGTAAGCGCCTAGGTTTTTCGGGAAAGTCTACAGAACAAGCCAAAGCATCCACGACCATCGACACATTCACACCAGAGAGCTGCTCTGGCAAGCACACAGCACTGGATCCGCACAGTGGCACTGCCCTCTGAACCCGCTTCTTTGTGGCAATGGTCACCGTTTCAAAGCATGGGTCAGGTGTGTCTGATTTCACCCCCGCAGGTCCCACACTCTCACTCCGGCTGTAAGGAAGGCGAGGGAAACACATATCCAATGTGCTCAGCATCCATAGTGGAAGGTGGGGGATTTCCTGACCTAGGAAAAGGGGCTCTGATGCTGAGGAGGACAAAAGCAGCAGGAGGGGTTGGACGCCTGGGAACAGAGCCCAGCCCTGGCAAGCACACATGGTTGGCTGTTGCTGGCATTCTCTACCTCCTCTGGCCTCTCCCCTGCTTTTCCTTGGATTTCTATTCCATTTAAAGAAGCTAGAGAAAAATTTGAGGTACAGAACAGCCGGGTGAGTCGTCGAGAGTTGAGGGACAAAACCAGGGCAGAATTAGTTATTTCAGAACTGGAAGCACTTGGAGGCTTAGGTGCTGAGCGTAATCTTGGGCACTGCTGCCCTGTTCCGCGTGGTCCTGGCTTCCTACAGCTGCAAATCTCTGGGTGACTTTTGCTCCTCATGCTTTTCCAGAAGTTTCTAAACCCACTCCCTATATTAAATGTGTAGTCTGGGCTGGCTGGTTAGCTCACTTGGGAGAGCGTGGTGCTGATAATACCAAGGGCAAGGGTTCAGATTCCCATACAGGCCAGCTGCCAAAAAAGAAAAAAAAGTCTGTACTCTTTGAAATACCCAGAGTGGTTCCTATTTTTCTGAGGAGACCACAGGTTTTGGAAACCTGGTTTTGCCACTTACCGTTTGCGTGACTTTGGATGTGTTATGTAACTTTTTCTACCTTAGTTTTTCGCATCTGTAAAGAGGGCATATTCATGCTTACTTTAAATTACATCTGCAGAATAGGTAATATTTTGTCATGATTTAGTTTTTTACTGTGGTTATGTAAGTGAATATTTTTGTTTATAGTGGTAAAGGGGCACGAGTGTCTCAAATGGTTCAGGAAAAATTACACACACACACACACACACACAGAGTAACATGGCAAATATACAATTAGTCAATATGGGAGAAGCAGACACAGGTGTTATTTTTAAGTTTGAAATTATTTCCAAATAAATGCTTTCAGGAAGGAAGGGACTGATACACTAATTCACACCTGCTGACCTTTCAATAATATCCGCATTTTAATTGTGGGGAGTAATTCATTTCTATGACTATGCAGATTTTTTTAAAAGACCACAAATTTCATGGTTAAAACCCCTTTATTAGCTCATGGTTTTGTAGGTGAGAAGCCACCAGGCTGAGGTCAATGTGGGCTCTCATCTGGACCCTCTGGAGAAAAATCCACTTCTGCGCTCTTTCCTGTTGGCAGAATTTGGTTCCTGTGGTTGTAGGAGTAAGGTCCCATTTCCTCACTGGCTGTCAGTTGGGGGCCACTCCTAAGGTTGTCTGCATTCCCTCCCACATGGCCTCTCCATCTGCAAGCTGGTAAGAGGTGGCCGAAACCTTTAAAATCTGACTTCTTCTGGGACCAGCCACAAAAATCCTCCAGATCATCTCCTCATCTAGTCCACTGACTGCGACCTTAATCACACCCACAGATCCCATCAGGGCAGCACCTAGGTCAGCACTGGACTGAATAACTGGGGAGGGGGTCACACGAGGCCCTGGGAATCTGGGGCCGTATTAGGATTCTGCCTGCCACAGAGGGCAATTTCTTAAACCAAATGAATAGCTATTAACTATCAGCACGTTTATGGTTGGGGGGGGAATGGGCTATTTGCAATGAGGATGTGGGCTCCCCAATACCCCCAAGTCAGCTCAACCTGGCCCAGCTAACAGTGATTCACAAAGAGTGTGTTCTTCTCTCTGAATAATTTTCTTGTTTGAACTCTGCTCCTGTGTACAGCCCTGACTCTGGTAGCACGTAAATAATCATCCTTTCTCCTCTAACCTGAAGTTTCAGAAATCAGGACTTATTAGTCTCCAGTACAGATTCTTGGCAAATCTGTGATTAGTGTCCCTGATGAAAGGAGACTACCATTACCCTGGGCTGACAGGCGGGCAGCTCCCCTTTCTTCAGAATGAACCAGTCATTACGTGGAAGGCTCTTGCAGTCTGTTCTCAGGGTTGACCTGGGGCCTCTGGAACCCAAAGGATGGAGTTGCCCTCAGGACAGAGCCACAAAAACACCACAGCCTCAAGGACTCTGAGCTGTCACCAGGCTGCTCTTAGGAAGCCCACCTTGGGTCAAATGCATAACAGGCTTTTTTAATATTACAGAGAACTTTCACATATTTTTTATAGTACCCCAACTTTTTTTTTTAATTTAAAAGAAGTTTAACTTAAAAGAAGGGGATCTTAACACTTGACCTGGTGTTGTCAGCACCACGCTCTCCCAAGTGACAATTTAAAAGAAGGGGATCTTAACACTTGACCTGGTGTTGTCAGCACCACGCTCTCCCAAGTGACTAACCGGCCATCCCTATATAGGATCCGAACCCATGGCCTTGGTGTTATCAGCACCGCACTCTCCCGAGTGAGCCATAGGCCGGTGGCAAAACCAGGTTTCCAAAACCTGTGGTCTCCTCAGAAAAATAGGAACCACTCTGGGTATTTCAAAGAGTACAGACTTTTTTTTCTTTTTTGGCAGCTGGCCTGTATGGGAATCTGAACCCTTGCCCTTGGTATTATCAGCACCACGCTCTCCCAAGTGAGCTAACCGGCCATCCCTATATAGGGATCCGAACCCGTGGCCTTGGTGTTATCAGCACCACACTCTCCCCAGTGAGCCATGGACCAGCTCTCCCAACAAACTTTTGATTCAAGCAGAGACAGTGTTCACCTCCCTTCACTGACGACAGAGCTGGCCTCAGCAAGGGGTGTGACTTTGCTGGTCACTCAGCCAGACAAGAGCAGAGCAGAGTCCTAAACCTAGGCCTCTGGACCCACACTGTCTCCCCACAGCCTCTCTGGGGAGCTGTATTCCCTCCCTCAGCCAAGTCCTAAGGTCAGGACATCCCAGTCCTTAGAGATTAGCTTCACTGGGACCGAGGGCCTTCAATCTTAGTGCATTGAGACTCTATAACCCACTTAGGGCTGAGGAGCCCAACTGCCTTCTTCCCAGAAAATCAAGCTTGCCCTCTACTGCATAATGTTCCTAGAACATGAAGCTGCCTTCTGAAAAGGAAGACAGAGCCATGGAGATCTCAAGTTAACCATACATAATCACTCCCAGAGAAAAAAGCAAATTCGTTGTTACGGGTTTCATGTCACCTGTAATAAGGACACTTTAGAGGCCAAAGTAAACAGTGAACGAGAGCCAGGCTGGAGGAGGCCGTGGTGGGGGCTGCAGGACCAGGCCCAGCGTCGGCACTTGCTCGAGCTGGCTGGGGCCGCTACACGGTCACTTCTTCCTGCCTCTACCTGTGTTTCCTCACCTGTAAAATGCAGAGAATACTCATTCTTGGCCAATGTAAGGAGCAAATGACTTTGAACAACTGTAAAAAAAATCAGATTTTATATTTTTATTGTAATTGAGGGTGGCTTTTATATATACTAAAGACTACTTGGAACTATTTTCATTTTTAATTAATATTCCCCTTATTCAAATTCAAAATTTTATGCTTTCCTTAAGCTTTTAGATTCAACTTTAAAGCCATGATTCTATTTATAACTTTATTTTATAATACTGACAAATTTTAACTGCCTTAAAACTTTTAAAATACATATATACAAATAATACCTTATACTTTTTAATACTTCAGCTTTCTTATGAGCTTTCCCAAGTGCTTAACCAGCTAAATTCAGTGAATTTTTTTCTTTTTTTTTCTTTTGGTGGCTGGCCTTACAGGGACCTGAACCTCTGACCTTGGTGTTACCAGCACCGTGCTCTAACCAAGTGAGCCTCCAGCCAGCCCTAAATATGGTGAATCCTAAGTTCTCTTAAATGTTCCCGTACTGCTTATAATCTTCATAAAATTGTACTGAACCTTTCATCTTAACTCACAAGTCCTTGGCAATTACCCAATCATGTGTTTTAAATCGGAAGCACGAGGCCAGTGCACAGCACACTCCAGAGGCCACATTCTCTTCAAGTGACAAGTTCTTAAAATACCAAATACATACAGATCACCTATACTTAGCCCCCAAATATCAAAAGCATGGGTTTAATTTACTTCCATTTCTAAGCTTAAACAGAAACTTTTTCCAGGGTTAAGAGAAACTTACCCAATTAAGAAATAGTTATGTCATTATCATTCTGTGAATTAGTCCATTTCTGTTGCTTATAACAGAATACCTGAAACGTGGTAATTTATAAAGAAACAAAATTTATTCTCTTACAGTTTCACAGGCTGGGAAGTCCGCAGTCCAGGGAACACATCTGGTGAGGGCCTTGCTGGTAGTGACTCTGCAGTGATGCAAGTGTCACATGGCAAATGGCAGAGAGCGCTAACTCCTCAATTGCTCTCCTTGTGAAGCCATCAGAACCACACCCATGACTACCATTAAACCATCAAAGGATTAATCCATTCACTAGGTCATGGTCCTCACAATCTAATCATCTCTTCATAGCCCCACATTTCAATTACCATAATAGGATTTCCCACCCTCTTAACACTGTCACAGTGGGAGTTATCTCAATGATCTTTGGGGGAGACATCCAATCCACAGCAATCAGCAAGTCGGGGGTCCTGTCCCAAGAAACTGAGGTTACTTACAGACCAGAAAGACCCCGATCAGGACCTAATTTAATCCTTGCAGGTAGAAGGGTTAGAAAATACTGAGGCTTTTTGGAGCCATTATACCTGTGGCTCCCGTCACCCACAAGGGGCAAGCCCCAGCCACTTAGGCTTCCAGACCCCCCGACTTTCTTTCAAAGACCACGCTGGTCTGAGGCTGGGGAGAGCCCACACCTGTCCAGATGTGGGGCTGGCCAATTCAGGTCACCATGGGCATGTCCCAGTCTTGCCCTAATCCAGGTCAGAGGCTCCGGAACTGTCGACAGCAACCCTCTCACGTGAGGATGAGGAATCAGCATTTCGCCACCCTTACCAAAAAGCTGTTTCAAAGAGGATCTTAACCGTAATCACCACAAGGGAAAGACAAATGATGATGTGACAAATGATGATGGTGATGGGTATGCTATCTACCCTAAGTGAGTCACTGATTGTACAATGTATGCATGTATTGAAAACAATACACTGTACCCCACAAATATGTACCATTTAAGTAAAATTTTTTAAAAAATCTATTTCAGTTACTGCAGATTTAAAAAAACCAAATCATTTTTCTCTTTTCATGGAAGAATAACTAAATAGCTTTAATTTTGGTGTATAAATAAGTCATTACCATAATTCCAGCTAAACTGAGGTCTAGCAGAGCTTTTCTCCTGATTCAGTCTGGAATTAGGAAAAGACTCTTCTGATTTGACTATGTTGACTAGACAGAGAAACGAGAAGGGTATTGGAGTCAGGCACAAAGGCTGAAGATGGAAGGGGACAGGGTGTGACAAGGTACCCTTTGTTTCTGCTGGAATCTTTATGCCGTGTGCTTCACTCCCTGTTCCATAGAAAGAAAAAGTATTTTTGTTCTTTCCCTAGGAAGAGTAGGTTTAACACAGGCAAACTTAAGCAGTAAACACACACACACACACCCCATCTCCCAGGTACTAGATCCTTCCACAGTAGCTGTGCCCTGGCCCCACCTCCTCCCCCGTCCCCAGGGCAGGAGTGGCTGGGGCTCCTCTGTACTCCTTCCTGTTCCTGTTGCGCAGGCATCACAGACAGGCTGACTTGCTGCAGAGCACACACAGCTCAGGGAGTGAACGGCTTCAGGAAGACAGGAGTCCCCGCTGTCCAGAACACCATGAGGTTTCCAGTGAGGCAGGGTGGAGGGGTGCAGGGTAGAAAAGGCCAGAGATGGATAGCAGTGACTTGCAAACAAGCTAAAGAGAAACGACACTTTTTTTAAGCCATCAGAAATGCAATGCTGAAAAAAGAGGAAAGGGGTTTATACTATAAAATGAAAGATTTGGATTAAATGGAAGAATTTGCTAAAAGTGAAATCAGTCAGAAATAGATATGGATACTGGGGTATAGGATCAGCAATGGGCAAAAACATAGCCCGGACAAGCTTTCAGTGTGATCACCCTGACCCCCAGCTGCCCGGGACCCTCCTAATGGCTGTGTGCGCAGACTCCACGCACGGATCATGTGGGGCCCTGCATGTACAACAGAAGCTAAGGCATCGGCAACAGGACTGAAGGAGGTACTTTGGGTAGGGAGGCTTCTCCAATTCATCCCAAATATCACCCCACAGGAAGATAACTGAGCTACTACACGAAACCAGTGTTGACTACTGAAGGCTCATCAAGGTCACCATGGCTGATCTTTGCTGACAGGGTAGGATCTTATCTCTTGAGTGTGTTTGCACCCACTAAAAATGCTTTTGGCTGCATGTAAATGAAAACCTGACTAACAAAGTCTTACACAAATGTGCAGTCTTCTCCTTCTGGTCTAGATGTAGATCCTCATGATCCAGCCAATTAGACCTGAAAGACAAGTAGTCTATCCCAACACATCCAATAAGTAGTTATGGAAAAGGAACAGAATATTTGCAATAAAACCCCTTTCAGAAACTGAGAGGATGGGAAGACAAAGTTAGTCATATATATCAGGTACTGCTGGACAGGCGCAGTGAGGTCACTGTGCCCTGGCAATAGAACAAGTTCCTCAATTAGCTGACCTGGCACTTTATTTTTGTCCTCTGGGACACCCTCCCATCTACTTGCATGGACTCTGGAGGATCCTCCAAGGCCTTATCTGAGGAGAGCATTTGGCAGAATACCCTTCACAGGGAACAATGAGTTTTGTGTTTCAATTTTTTTTTTTATAAGACTTCTCAAGTACAGTAGTAAAGAATAGAACAAGGAGTTTGACCTGTAACTGACTGAACGATCAACTCACTACCTGCGGACCAGCCTGCAGTCCAATTCTTCTTGCCATGGGTTCAGAGGCTGGGTGGGGTTTGCTTCAGGGGTTGAACAGACATGGGCTACTGTTAGTCAGGTTGTTTTGTTTTATTTGACATTATAGTTCCCTCAAACATTTAGTCAGCTTCTGGTCCATTCTGTTTGGCTACGTGCTCACGGAACCACAGCAAAGACCACCTCCTGACACGGTCATCCAGCTGACAACTTTTGGTTCCCAGGCTGGCTTTGGTATCTTGCCCACAGCCCTCTTACTCAGCCTAATAGCTCTCACCTGGAAGTAGGTCAAAACAATGTTTTGGAGTAGGAAAGCAGCATATTTAATCAGATCTTTACCCCCATGGCTGCTAATCTTGTCTTCTGATAAGGAGGCTTTTCACTGACCCTGCTCAATTGGCTCCAGATTAGTACACATTAAATGACTTTTTCCACCCCATGCAAGTCTCCCTAGAGACTTCATTTAATAAATAATTTGGCAATCTAAATTTTTCCTACCACTTTCCCACACACTCCAGCCTTATAGTCTTTGCAGATCACAAGGATCCAACATGCAGATCTGAAAAAGAAGACCGCACATCATCCCGACATGCAGGGCTGGGTTAATTTGGATGTAATGTCCTGGTAAGACTTGAGGGTGGTCTTCTAAGCCCTTGGGGAGGCAGTGCATTCTACAACAAGAGACAGAGTGGGGCAGACTTGTGAAAAGGCCAACCCAATTCTCATTCCCAAACCGTTCCTTGTATTTTACTTTTTGGAAATGTCAAATTCTCTTTCTCAGCCTCCCTTACAGCTAATCAATAAGACATAAGCAGAAATCTACTATGGGGTGGGGGCAGGGGTTCTGGGAGTACTTAGCTTTCTAGATAAGAGACATAATGCTGCTACCCATGTCCCAAATACAGATGTGATGTGTGTCACTACAGCAGCCAGACCGTGACCTTGAGGAAAAGGGCAAGGGAATTAGAGAGGCCATCCTTGACGTTACTGTCTCTTTAGCAGGATTAACTGCTGCTGCCTCCAGACTTTCTCATTATGTGAGAAAAACAAACCACAATTTGTTTAAGCTTCTATGTCATAGCACATGGCAACATAACTGATTATTTACCATTAAATGTCAAGGGGTCTCTAATTTTCCAGCCTGAAATAGTTAGGTCTCCTGTACCTACCACCCGACCTCCTCCATTTAGCCAATTCGACATTTTAGTAACTTCCCTGGAGCCACTCATTTTCAGATACCAAATTCCGTATGTTAGGGATGCTTCTGTCCATAAGTAACAGAAACCTTAATTTACTGTGACCTATCAAAAAGCGGTTCCTTCTTATATGGGAAGTCCAGAGGTAGGCAGTCCAGAGCTGGTGCAATGATGCAATGACATTCTGCTCCACCAGCTGCAGCAAACTGGCCAGCTGCTCACAGTCTAAGACCACTGCGCGTCTCCAGTCATCAGTCCACTCACTCAAGCATGAAGCTAGGAATAAAGGAGTAGCACCAGCTTCATCTTCCTTTTCACCAGGAAAGCAAAACCTGTTCCCAAAAGACCCCATATATTTCTATTTTTATCTCATTAGACAGAAGGTGCTAGGGAAGTAGGACATTCATGTTTCCTAGAGGAAGGGCATTCCCTTAGGTGGTAGGGAAGTAGGACATTCATGTTTCCTAGAGGAAGGGCATGTGCCAGCTTGGTGATGGCCGCAGTGCTCCTGTCTGAGGTGGAGAGGGGCTCTGGTGGCCTTCCAGGGCCTGTTCAAGATGCCCCAAGGTGGTATTTAAGGTACCTCATACCCCAGTCCTTAAAACTTACTCAAACCAAATTTTTTAGACAAACACCCATCTTTGACTAGGATTTTAAAACATTTTGCTAAAATAAATGATCTCAGATTCCCAAGATTAATTTGAAGTTCAGAACTGACATGTCTTGTAGGTCGGTACGTTGTCATGGCTTTGCCATCGGACCAAGGATACTTCAGGATCCCTCACTGGCTGGGGAGACTCAGAAGCAACAGCTCCATCATGTCTGGCCAGACAGGAGGAGTCCATTTCCCTTCCAACGGTCAGGAGAACCGTGTGGGCCAAACGTGTGAAGTGTCAGTGTGGATGAGATGTCAGTTGCTTCAGTGAAGAGTTCATCCTTTGGAATTTTTTGTTTTAATTAGACTGTAAAAGCCAGAAAAAGAAAAAATATCTTTTCTCTAAGCTCCAAATGTGTTTTTCAGGTCAATTATATTATACCTTCATCTATTTACTACCATTATTGTTTACATATTTTAGAACCATATTGTGTCCTTTTGAACATGATTTTGAGATATCTAATACTTTTTAAAAAATGTCTATAATGCCTAATAGGAAGCACTTAATAAATATCTCTTCAATGGTTAACTGGTATAAACATATAATTTCCCTGAATCATCCTTACTCTACATAGATAAGCAGAGAGATGGCATCTTTCAATACTGGAAAAAGAAAGTTATATCACTATTCCCTCCTCTCCCAATATGTCCAAATCTACTTGTTGCAGGAGTTCGACACCTTCCTCTAGCCTCTTCTTCCCCTTTATGCCATG